CATTTTTTGAAAGACATTTTTGCTGCTTTGTAGTTGATAATTTTTTCCCTTCACTACTTTAAAGATTTTTCTTCACTGTCTTCTCACTTGTATTGTTTCCAGTGAGAAATCTGAGGTCACCCTTATCTTTTTTTCCTCTGTAACATCTTCTATCTGCTTTCAAGATTTTCTCGTTGTACACACAGAGTTCTCCAGAGACACAGAACCAACTGGATGTGTGTATATGGAGAACGATACTTAAGGAATTGACTCACATGATTATAGACCTTGGCAATTCCAAAATCTGTGGGGTGGGCCAACAGGTGGGGGAACCAGGAAATTGCTGATGCAGCACTTGAAGCCTGAGGAACCATTGACACAAAGTTACTTGCTCAGGGGAATTAGTCTTTTGCTCTATTCAGGCCTTCAACTGATTGGGTGAGGCCCATCCACATTCCAGAGAGAGCAATCTGCTTTACTCAAAATCCACTGATTTAAATATTAACTTCACCCGAAAACACTCTCACAAAAACAACCAGAATAATGTTGGACCACATGTTTGAGTATCATGGCCCAGCCAAGTTGGCACATAAAAGTAACTATCGCATTCTTTATCACTGGTTCTGAGCACGTTCACTAAGATGTGCTTTGGTGTAGTTCTGTTCACATCTCTTGTGCATGGGGTTCAGAGAGCTTCTTGGATCCAGTTTTCTTCAAGTTTAAAACTGTTTTGGCCATTATTTCTTCTAATATTTTTCTGTCTTTTTCTCTACCCTTCACCTTCCCAGACTTCAATTACCCACATGAAATTGTCCCACAGCTCACTGACGTTCTTTGCGTCTTTTCCTCTGTCTCTTTCTGTCTTTACTTTGGATGATTTCTAACATTAATGCTTCAAGGTTAGTGATGTTTCCTTCTTCAGTGTCTAATCTGCCACTCATCCTATCTGGTGCATATTTCATTTCACCTATGAGAGTATCTGCCACTAGAAATTTTATACTGTTTTTTTTAATATCTCTATCGCTACTTAACTTTAAGAACAAACAGGATTCAATTATAGTATGTTCTAACGTCCTTCTTTGCTCATTCTAACATCTGTGTCAGTCAGAATCAGTTTCAATGGATTGATTATTCCTCTCGTTATGAACCATGTTTTCCTGCCTCTTCATATGCCTGGTAATTTTTTTTTTAATATGTCTTTATTGATTTCAGAGAGAGGAAGGGTGAAGGGGAGGGAGGGAGAGAGAGAGAGAGAGAGAGAGAGAGAAAGAGAAACATCCATGTGAAAGAGACACATCAACCAGCTGCCTCCGGACAAGCCCGCAACCGAGGTATGTGCCCTTGGCCAGAATCCAACCCAAGACCCTTCAGTCCGCGGGACGATGCTCTGACTACTGAGCTAAACTGGCCAAGGCAATGACCTTTTTCATTTAGAAATATTTTTTATTGAATTTATTGAGGTAACATTGGTTCATAAAATTATACAGGTTTCAGGTGTACAATTCTATGGTACATCGTCTGTATATTGTGTTGTTTGTTCCCCACCCAAAGTCCAGTCTCTTTCCATCACCATTTAACCCCCCTGTACCCTCCTCTGCCTGTCCCCACCTCCCTTTCCCTCTGGAAACAGTTTTCAAGAAAATGAACCTAGTTGCTTGATATTTACTTTCTTGAAAACTGTGTCATATATTTTGTCTGGGTTTTTTCCAGACAGTTATTTTCCAGTTATTTGGGGGGGGAGGGGACCAGTTCTAGTTACCGTGTCTCACCAGAGTCAGCGTCCCTGCTCATCCCTGCACTCACCACTCTCTCAAGCATCCTCAGTGTTTCCTTCTCCCTCGACCACCCCTTACACCTCTGTCCACCTGCACGCGATGTGGCACCTTTCCTCTAAAAACAAACGCCCTTAACACCGCCTTCCCTGACTCTGTCTACCCTGAAAGAGTCATCTATGTGCAACCTTAGCCAAGGGGGCAAAAAAAGCAAGGGCAATCTCGGCCTCTTTCCCTCTGCTTGCTCACCGCCCATCACAGCTCAGGTTAGTTTCCACCCTAACATGCTACTGACCACACTGTCACCACATGCAATGGCCCTCTCTCAGATTTTAGACTTATGTCTATACTGCTTAACTCTGGTTCTTTGAATCTCCTGTTCATATCTGATTTATACAATACTATACAGAACCACCTGGTTTAGATCTCTGAATAATGCAGATGCCAAAATGTAATCTCCAAAGGGCAGTGATATTTGTCTGTATTGTTCATTGATGCAGCCTCAGTGCCCACATCTGTAGCAGCAACATAACAGGTATTCAATAAAGGCAAGCATCAGTGGCAGCCACATAACAGACATTCAATAAATGCAGACAGCAGTGGCAGCCACAAAACAGGCACTCGGTAAATGCAGACGTCGGGCAGCCACATAGCAGGCACTCGGTAAATGCAGACGTCGGGCAGCCACAGAGCAGGCACTCGGTAAATGCAGACGTCAGGGGCAGCCACAGAGCAGGCACTCGGTAAATGCAGACGTCAGGGGCAGCCACAGAGCAGGCACTCAGTAAATGCAGACATCAGGGGCAGCCACATAGCAGGCACTCAGTAAATAGAGACGTCAGTGGCAGCCACTTAACAGGCACTCAGTAAATGCAGACGTCAGTGGCAGCCACATAGCAGGCACTCAGTAAATGCAGACGTCGGGCAGCCACATAGCAGGCACTCAGTAAATGCAGACGTCGGGCAGCCACATAGCAGGCACTCAGTAAATGCAGACATCAGTGGCAGCCACTTAACAGGCACTCAGTAAATGCAGACGTCAGTGGCAGCCACATAGCAGGCACTCAGTAAATGCAGACGTCAGGGGCAGCCACATAGCAGGCACTCAGGACATGCAGACGTCAGGGGCAGCCACACAGCAGGCACTCAGGACATGCAGCAATAATGAAGACCGGAGCTGTGATGAGCACCCTTCTTCCCTCCCCCACCTCTCATCCGTGGCCCGTCTCACCCAATCCACATTCGGTCACCTCTCACATCTGGATCTCCGCCAGCCTGTTGTCCTGCATCAGGATCACTGTTGGGGGGCCTGCCGACACCTCCAAATCATCATGGCCCAAACCAGACTCATTACCTTTCACCTTAAACCCGTCTGTCACGTTTTCCCTCGTCTCTGGATCCGCTCCATCACCAGGCTGGAAGCCCGAGTCAGAGTCACCATGCTCTCCTCTGCTCCCCGCTTCCCAATGCGAGGGTCACTCTCCCGGGGGAAGCGACCCTACTCCAGCCCTCCAGCCCCACAATCAGGGCACAGCTGGCTCACCGCTCCACGGGCGCCCTCTCGCCGCGGGTCACCGCTCCCCCCGCATCTCCACACCTGGGGCCCCAACCCAGGGGGGCACTACCTGTTCCCTGACACCGCTGCCTTTTCCACCCTACTCTCCCCACCCCGTCCTCTCTGCCTGATCGCACGCTCACGTGGGCTTCTGTCACCCCCAGTGGGAATGCTCCCTGTCTCGTAACTGCCATGTTTATACCTCCAAGTACAGCACAACCACGTTCCGTCTTAGCACCTGGTATACAGCAAACACTCAGTAAGTGTGAACTATTTATCCTTAGAATAGTTCTCTGTGGTCACTGCCTTCGTAATGGCCAACAGTAGGTCTATGGTTCAGCCTCCACATCACGGCTGGCGTGGCCCTTCTCAGATAACTGACCACGCGGTTTCCTTCAAACACTCCACCAGCCCTGGACAACCTGCAGGAGAAGCTCGAATTCCTGAGCGTGGTACAAAAGGATGGCCGAGCTCTGGCCACTGTCCAGCTCTTGTGCTTTGACCCCTGGCTTCTACTGGCCACGCACTGCGGACACACAGAAATGTGGTTCCCGGGAGGTGCCAATCGGCTCCAGGGCCCTCTGCACCACACAAGCTGTCCCTGTGCCCCAAACGGCCTTTCTTCCCCCCGTCTGCTCTCATTCCTGCCTGTCTGCCAGGCTCACTCACCCTCAAGACCCAACACGGAACACCCCACGGTGCCTCCCTCCCTCCCCGCCCCAGCACCGGGGCCACTCCTCCTCCTTACACATTTCTGGACACTAACTTCCTGTCTATGTGGCCAGTGGACTGAGTCTCCTGGGATGCTGGGATCCCGGCTTACTCCTGACACTGGACGTAGCACATAGTAGGTGCTCAACAAAAGCTGGACGAATGGACAATCGCTCCACCTTTCCCAGACAACATCTCGCCCCATGTCAGCTCCTCCTGGACAGCTCTGTTCTTTGTCTCCCCGACTGTTCCTCCACTATTTCCTCTAATTTACGCTTCTTTCCTGCAAAAGGGGGAAGCACTGGGGGAGTGACGAAGCTCCAGGGCAGCCCCCGACGCCTGGGGCCAGATCATTCGTCCTGGTGGGGCTGCCCTGTCCTGGTGGGGTGTTCAGCAGCATCCTGGGCCTCCGCCCTAAGAAGTCAGTGACAGCCCTTCCCAGTCGTGACAACCAGACTGTCACAGACACTGTCTGCAGACACTGCCGGGCCCGGACTGGGAGCTGCTGCCCAGGCCGACCTTCCTGGGCCGTGTGGGACGAGCACAGTGAACCTGGTCCGTGGTCCTGCACCAGCTCTACAGGTGATGCAGAGGGAAGACGCGGACTCCGCCAGCCACCCTGTTCAGGGACCACATGACCAACAGAGTGGGTTAAAGTGACACTTCAAGGGGACGGACACTTGAGGGGCCTGCGCTGCGTCCACCATCACAAGACTAAAGCCCAGGTTCCGGGTCACTTTGCAGTGATACTTGCCCGAGCGTGACTTACTCAGTGGCACTGAAATGACCACCTAGAGGGACAGAGGGTGCAGCAATTTAAGGTGACTAAACCCCCTCGAATCTGTTCTGAAAACCAGATAGAGATTCTGAAAGTAACATAAATACAGTGGAGCTCTTAACCAGCAATGAGGGGGGAAGGGGCCCCCCAGTAGGTGAGAAATGAGACCATCGGGGGTGAGGGAGGAAGGGGAGACTGGACCCACCTGTGGTCGAGACGACGTGCTCCGGACTCTCGCTGCAGAGCCGGGACAGCAGGCTGGTCTTGCCGGAGCCCGTGAGGCCTATGCAGACCAGGTCATACTCGGGGCGCGCGGGCGGGGGTCCCTTGCAGCACAGCGCCCGGAAACACTGCCAAGAGAGGAGAGATGCGGCTCTTAAACATGGACATGGACACAAACCTCAGCGACATAGCACATGGTTATTAAGAAGCAATTAAACAGCCTGTCACTGAGTAGGGGGAAAGGTAACTAGAGTGGAGAAACCAGAGGACACCACCTTAACCAAGGGATCAAGGTTTCCATCCCCAGGGAGGGCGCAGGTTTGGACCCACGGCTCCCCTCCTGCTGCGCTGTGAGGGTGACGTCATTACTTGGCTCTCCTGCCCGAGACGCACAACCTGAACCTGCTCACAAGGAGATCAGAAAATTCCAGCCCGGGAGCATCCTGCCAGGCACCCAGCTGCTCTCTAAACCGCAACGTCTCAAACGTCAAATAGGATGTTCCTGCTCACAGACAACTGAAGACACGTGATATATGCATGTGTGTTGTGTATGTGTGCACATGTGTGTATTAAGTGTGTGTGTGCATGCATGTTCTCTGTGTAAGGTGTGTGTGCATGTATACTCCGTGTGTGAGATGCATGTATGTTGTTGGTGTGTATAGGTGTGCACATGTGTGTGATGTGTGCACTCCCACACAAGACGACCACGGGCTGGCAGCTACTCGCTTAGGAGAGCTCTGAGGGTTCAGCTGTGGCCGGTAACCCACTAGCCACACAGTGGGTCTCCTCCTGCGCTGCTTTGGTCTTTGCGGGGGGAGAGAGACCCTGTTCCTGGTCACTCCTAATCTTGCTCAGAGCCTCTGCCAGAATCCCCTGGACTCTAACTACCCTGAACCGGACTCTGCGTCACCGTTTAAAGCATTCACACACCAGCAAGACTCAGCATTCTGGCCAAAAGTTCCAGAATTTCACCTTCTTTTTAAACCCAGAGTATAAAACCTGTGCAGCCGAGCCCACTGATACCCATGCCTGCTCTCCACGTATTCTAGGCCACCTGAGACACTCTGACAGAAAAAGCCATTTAGCAACGGCACCCTACTCTCTGTCTCCTTCCATCTCCTCTCTTCTGCTCAGTGATGTCAGCTCCGCCCCCGCGGTTCCAATCATAGGGACCTTAAAATCACCTGACAAGACACCTCCCCCGGCCAGTCTCCTTCCTGCACTTCAGGGTCTGTGTCCCCAGCTATTCTGGAGTAACCCGAACCACATGTAAATAAAACAAAGGTGGCCCCCGAACCACAGAATATAGAGATAAGGTATTTCCTATTTTGGAACAAAAAAACCCCTAAAGGTTAGATTGACAATTATTATAAGGCAGAATCTTTTAAATAAATCTCAGAATCTTTGAATATTGATTTGAAATAAATAAATCCTATGGTTAAACAGAAATAGTATCAGATTTTGAGCCAAAAAATAAGACTGTTAATATGTTACTTCAAATGGGGGGCTAATGTCCATGCTTTTCCAGTCTGTCCCTAAAAACCTAACGAAGTTTTCACTTGTTTTTCATTTTAAAACTTAATGAAGCTTAGGATCTCATAGTCAATTTACTTAAAATGACTCACTCCGGCCCCCGACTACACTGTACCAGAGTTCATTGTGTCTGCCTCCCGAGCAGCCGGCATTGTTCGGGGCGAGCCCCTTTCACGGGGCACAATGCCCAGCACAATGCTGTCGGCAGCCCTGACAGCAAGTGGCAAACTCTGGCTCCATTCCCAGGCCAGACACTGGGGCATTGTGTGGCCACGCAGGCCCGCAGGCCAGCACGCTCCGTCTCCGGGGATTAGCCGGACGGTTAACAGCATCCACACCCCTTCCTCGGGAGGTGCTGGGAGGCTCGGGTCACTGCTCAAGGCTCTGAGAAGGCGCCGAGCGGGCAGGCAGACAGCTTCATCACGGGGCTCGGTCCCTAAGGTGCCGCAGGGCACAGCTAGGTCCCTGGGCAAGGGCTCGGCAGTCAGCCCAGACTGGGGCCCTTTGCTGCCCTCAGCACCAGCAGCCCCCAGGTGCCCCACCCACCCCAGACCAGACCAGGACACAAAAGGCGCAAAGACATGCAGCCCTTGGCCCTGACTTGCGGCAGGAGACGGAACAAGTGCTGGGACCACTGTGCCCGGGCAGGGCAGCCAGGGCCCTGGTCTGTCACCTGCGCTGCCCAGCTCACAGGTCTTTCAGACAAGGCTCCGTGGGGCTCACGGTGTGTCTCTCCCACCAGGTCAGGACGCAGGACGTGTCCGCTGGGCACGTGCCACAGGCTGCTACCTACGCTGGGGGTGAGGGCTGCGTGGAGGACAAGGCCCTGGATGCTGCGTGAAGGAAATCGCCAGGAAAAACTGTGTCAAAGACTTCGCACGAATCATACGTTCCTCAGCTGAAAGTGGGTCAGCTAAAAACCATAAGCAAAATCTTCGGGATATTTGCTTTGAGGAGGGGGGACGCGCGTATTAAGGGGAAAATAAGCTAAAGGTTGAATCACAAAGGTAAACAAGGGCCCACACTTCAGTCTGGTGGCACCAAGGCAGCGAGACTGTCCTAAAGTGCCCCCATTCTGATGGGGACGTGCCGGCGTCTGGAAGGTCTGAGAGGCCACTGTCCCAGCAGGTACTCGGTGAGGAACGGCTCAGCAAATGACACTGTAAGGCACGAATTAAGCACTGAACTGGGTGTCTCAGTCCCCACAAGGTCCCCACCTTCATGAGTCCAGCTCCTTCCAAACCACAAACCTGTCCCTCCACGAGTCAACGCCTCACAGTCCAGCCCCAGGGTCCTGAGGCCCTGCTCTCATCCTACTCGATGGACTCCTGCTCGGTGCTCTGCTCGGCAGCACCCAGGGGTCGGCACTTCACGCCCCAGCCCCCAGTCCGGAGCACCCAGAGGGAAAGGCCCAGCTACAGCTCCTGCTCGGCGCTCTGCTCAGCAGAACCCGCTCTGGGCAGCCTTGTCCTGCTCCCTCACGGAGAACTCACCCTCCCTCCCTCCCTGGCCCTCGGTACACGGCACACATTCTCGCCTGCCATCAACGCTGTGCCACGTGGAATGCTTTCTAATTGTAAAAGGACTGGCTGACAGAGTCACACACTGACCAAGGATGCGTTCGTCCTGGTCCTGAGACTGCTTCACAGTTGGGCTGGACAGCTCCCCAGGGTGCCAGGGGGCAAGCAGGGGACAGAGTCGTCCCACAGCTTCAGTCTCGCTCCAAACCCTCCGGCCGGGGCTCTGTCCCACACTGCCAGCCTTGCCCACTGTCCCGTGTCGCCGAATCCCTCGCCTTCAGGGACACGGCATTGGTTTCCATCGATGCTCAGTGTTTCACGATGAATAATGATTTTATTCTGAGCACAATTTCACTGTGACTGGAGCGGTGTGTCCTGCTGGAAAACGGTCTCCAGTAGCTCGGGGCTCCCACAGCCCTGTCACTGCCTGCGCTCTCCTCACTCACAAGCAGGTCTCAGCACCCAGACCGCAGGTCCCCTGTGGCAAGGGGCCAGGTCTACCTGTGGGCCCGGCGTGGCCTGGCACAGGCTCCATAAATCCTCCTCAGGCTGAGGCTTCCTCACTTAGTTGGTATGTAAAAGTGAGAGAAAACGCACCGTAACTGGAAGTGGACATATTCCTAAGAAATTTGTTTTCAAAACCGAAAGGAGGCCCCTCACCAGCTCTCACAATTAAAAAAAAAAAAAAAGTTTTTAAAATGTAAGTTTCTACACGTGTTTTCTAACACTAAACATGTTCAATAAATAAAATATTAAGAAGTCTGAAAATATTTAAAACTACACAATTTACAGTATTTTCCAAGTCTGTAATAGTCAAATTGGGGGCTGTCCGTTGAAAATACAACCAAAATGTGTTCTACGCCCAGCCGGTGTGGCTCATTGGTTGAGCATCAAACCTAGGATCCAGGAGATCGCAGTTTGATTCCCGGTCAGGGCACCTGCCCAGGTTGTGGGCTCGATCCCCAGTCAGGGGCATGCAGGAGGCAGCTGATCAATGTCTCTCATCATTGATGTTTCTATCTCTCTCTAAAAATCAATGAAAACAAATTTTAAAAATGCATTCTAGGAATGAGGAAGGATGGGTGTGCTAATAACTTAAAAAATAAAAAAAGGCAGCTACTAGGATTAAGCACCAGCTATCAGTGACTCGTGTGTGTTCATTCATTCACTCCCTTGAACACCCAACGAAAAAAGAACTACATGCTTCTGAAGCTAAGACGAGGAAACTGAGCCCCAGCAGGTTTAGCTCAGTGGTTAGAGCGCCGGCCCATGGACTGAAGGATCCCGGGTTCAATTCCAGCCAAGGGCACATATCTGGGCTGCAGGCTCCATCTCGGCCCTGGTCCGAGCCTGTGCAGGAGGCAATCAATCAATCTCTCTCTCCCCCACCCTTCCACTCTCTCTGAAAAGCAATGGAAAAAATAACCTCAGGTGAGGGTTAAAAAAAAAAAAAAAGACACGGAAACTGAGGCCCAGGGAAGTAAACTAACTCGCCTCAGTGGAGCTGGGTCTGAACCGCACAGCCTGGCCCCAGAGCCGTTTTCAAGCCACGTGAGCAGCGCTGAGCCCCCAGGTAACACCCACGGGGTGTCAGGAGGGAGACGTCGGGTGGATGCTGCCCAGGGCAGCATGCAGGTAGGAAAAGGCACCTGAGAGCCAGGGCTCCGGGGAGGGCGACAGCCTCCGGGCTCTGACTCACGCCCTCTCTCGGCCCAGGACTCCAGGTCTGCAGCCAGCGACCAGAGCAGCAGAACAGGGGTGTTTAATGCTACAAGGGACAGTGAGTTCAGTAAGTCAGTGGACAGACGAACACCTGGTGGAGGAAGGGGCAGATGCAAGGCCCGGTCCCTACACTGTCAGGTGAGGGCCACGGCACCTCAATCGCAGGCAGTTAGAGGACCGGCTCCTGCTGAACTGGGGGGGGGAGGCAGGCTGGAGAGAAGACAGGGGGCTCGGAGTGCTACTGGCTTCTCCTTCCAGCAGCAAAAGAAACCAAGAGAAGCAGGGGTTTCGTGCTCAGCAGCCAGCAGGCATGGAGGCCGAACGGGCGGGGGGTGGGGGGGGAGTACCACTGG